TGTATTTTTACTAATTGTCATAACTCGATTTTTCATTCAGTTTAATTAAATTTTTCATAAAATATATATATATATATATTTATATCAATCACAAAATTAATCCCAAAAAAATTTAAAAAAAAAACAAAAAATACAAAAATATGAATTTTCTCTTTCCTTTAACTAATATATCTTTATTTTTCTCTTAGGTGCTATATGCAAAAAAAAAAAACTCAAGAAGAAAATGAAGAAAAAATCCTCAAAAAAGGACTCAATTGAAGGAATCAAAAGTTTAAGAGTAAAATTCATCAAATTTATAAACCCAACACCAACCCATTTCAATTGAGCCCACTAAATTATCCAAATCCAAAAACCCAATACCCAAACCCAAAAAAATCACAAAAAAAGGAAAAAATGTTAAAATCTTTTTGCTCTTCAGAAACTTCTTCCTCACCACGGCCTTCTCCCTCATCTTCCAAAATCTTCTCCTCCCGAACCAGCTTCCTCCCCAAACCTAACGCCTGGGCCCTTGCTTGCTGCGCCCCCTGCCGCCGGCGCCCCTACTTGCTGCACCCCCTATACGCCTGCGCCCCCTGCACTCTACGCCCTTTGCACTGATTGCTGCGTCGATCTTGGACTCTGCGCCCCCTACTCGATGTACCTGAGCCTGCACCCTGCTGCGCCCTTGCTTGCTGTACCCGAGCCTGCACCTTGCTGCGCCCCTGCTTGCTGTCCCTGAGCTTGCGCCCTCTGCGCCCCCTTTTCTGCAGAAACAGATCCTGCGCCCCACGCTGCAGCCAACCGAACATGAGACAAACCCACACCATGTCCTTGCCTCGCCTGTAGAATGACAGCGCGCACCAGCTTTCTTGGCTGTTTGGCCTCATCCGATCAACGGTAGAAAAAAAAAGAAGAAAAATTGAAAGGTCTGGATGAGGAGAAAAGAAGGGAGTTTAGGATTTTGTTTGATTTTGTATAAATAGGAAGGAACCGGTAAATTGGAGGGGTGGAGTTTTCGGAAGGAGGCGTTTTCTGCTGGGTGACAACGGCTGGAGGAGGAGACATTATTGAGTTTCAAGAAGTGTGCCCTTTTCTGGATTTGTTTCTATAGGTAATTTTCTCATCAGACGAGGTTATTGAGAAAGGTGGTGAGGGAGAGGGTTGGAGCTTGATTCAGTGGGTGAGATCCCTCCCCCGATTCTGATCTGTTTTCTTCAAAAACCTTCACCATGCTTGTTTTTATTTTTTGGGTTTTTTTGATGTGCCTGCCATAAGTGTATTTGGGAGTAATATTGTGAATGAAAAATCAAAAAAAAAAAAAAATGGTCCTGTCTAATAAATGTGCTTTTTTTTTCTCAGTGAATGTGATATTTTACAATGAACGTGTTCTTTTTTTTGAAATTGATGAACCTTAATTGCAAGTTCATTTTTTTTATGTTTGATTTATTTTTTTTTTTTATTTTGAGTAGTTGATTGTGTTTCTGGTTGGATCAATCATGCCCGATCGATCGAGTAGATTTATATATATATATATATATATATATAAACTAAAAATGGTTAAAAAACACTAAAAAAAGTAAAAAAGGTAAAAATGTATGTGAATAAAATTATTAATTAATTAAGTCAATTTAATTTATGATTAATGAAATTAATTAATTTTAATTAAAATAAATTAATCATATTCATTGTATTTGATTTAAGATGATTAGATTTATTTAATCATCTTAATTAGAGATTACTAGATGTAATTAATTAATTTTAATTAATATTAATTAACTTCAAATTAATCATTCAATTAGGTTAATTATCATGTTTAATTAATTTTAATTCTAAAATGAACTTTAATCTTGGTCAAAGTCAAAGTTATCTATCTCATTTTTAATTTTATCCAAAACTTTTATGATTAAGCAATTTAGTCCATGGGTTTCAAATCTTTTCAAATCAGTCCCTCATGTTTATGAATATGATCAAATCAGTCCATCTAATTTTTTATTTGTGCTTATTGTGCATGCGTGTTTTTTTATTTTATCGATTTTAGTCCAAAAATTTTTAAAATGTTTGCAATTTGGTTTATTTCTTTTTCAAGCTTGCTTATTAAGACTTAAATACAAACATAATGAATAAGTTGAATTAAAACCTCAATGTTAAAGTATGCAACTGTGTATAAAAGGAGAATTGTGAGGTGTGGGTATGCTCTTTCTCACTCCTAACCGAACTCCCAAACCTCGATTTCTACGTAAACTCATTTTAAGTGACTTGTCTCACTTTATAATTTGGACGAGTGGTGACTCCCTTTTCTTTTATGTTTTTCACACTTAATAATCATAATTTTTCATTATTTTAAAATTTTAAGTGTGGTCGTCAACACTAATTAACGACCTCCCTAATAAACGGCCTTGGCTTCTCTCCTCTCATCTCCTCTCACATCACTTCCCCTATCTATTAATTAAACCTCTTCCACCCTTTTGCTTCTCATCACCTTAGTTTCCACTCTTTTTTCACCAACCAAGCAACAATAGCCGCTGCATTAATGCCTCCAAAACCTTTGTTCTTTAATGCTTTGGTTACTAATTAGTTTGAATCCAACAATATGCCTTCAAAGTTCATATGGTTCGCAAATGGGCCAAACAATATTTCATATTTAATATCACCTTGAAAGCATGAACGTCCATGAATGAGAAGAGCTTACTTGCATCATTAGTGGAGTAAGAGGGTTTATCTGCTTCATTTTTAGTTTAGGAGCTTAAATGCTATTTTAGAATAAGTTTGAGGGTTTAAGAAGGATTTTCTTTGGAAAAAATTAAAAAAGTGCAGGGAACTTGTAACACCTCACATACCTTAGTGAATAATTTAAAAATTAGTGTCCTTTAGTTTATAGTTTTAGGGATTAAATTGATTGAATTTAAAGTTTGGGGGCTTTAAGTAGAATTAAGTAAAAGTTGAATGAGCATGACTCAATTATCCCAATTTTACTTAACACATGGCATTTTCCCAACCAAGTTTTTGGTCTTTGTCAGTGGAAGCTTGGATAAGCCTCCAGAAGTCTCCCAAAAGCCTCATTTGGTTTTCCTATGCCTTCCTCTTCCACCTCCATCCTTTTCTTCCTCCTTTCTCCAACCAAGGTTAAGGTGTTTTTGTTAGGTAAGTATAAGTTTTAGTTATGAATTTTGGGTTAGAGTTTTGGGTAGTTTAACTTAATGAGATTTGACTTTAATCCTTTGGTTTATAAGATTTTTGGGTATTAAACTTTTATTAGAAATATCATTAATTTTGGGGCTTATATGGCAAAAATAGGGAGTTAGTCCTTTCTATTGTTTGATTTGGGTGGGATTTTTGCTGTAGGAATTAGAAGGAAATTGGATTGTTTACGAGACTGTTCATGATTACTGTTCAAAATACTGTTCATGATTACTGTTCAAAAATACTGTTCATGATTACTATTCACAATTACTGTTCACGCATTATGCTTTGATCTCTTTCAATAGGAAGTCCTAATATTATTTTGGACATATTATGAATTTGTTTGACATGTGTATGTGTTTGTGGCTATGGAGTAAGTGGACCTAAGCTTAAAGCTTGGGGTATTCAGTGGACCCTTCGGGGTATTTAGTGGACCTCTGCGCAGTAGGGTTAGTACTGTGATTAGCTCCGGTACAGTGTTGTTAGCACACCTTAGTGGACTCCATAGCATTGTGTGATTTTCGATTTTATGCATTGCGCTTGTGACATCGTATTTGTGAGCATATGATTTTAATATTATGTGATTTGATTCCGTTGTGTTTTATGCTTTTTGTGTGGATATGTCTAAAGGTCTTAGGACCCAAGTTTATAGCTTAAACTTATTACTTGCTAGGATGTGAGCTCATAAAATCCCCCCCCCGTTTCAGATCGGTAGATCGAGGTAGCAGCATCTCGGTTTAGGAGCTTTTGGCACGGGACTCGCATGCTCGTTGTATGTGCAAGCTAGGGCCTCGTGTTTTCGATAAGGAGGCAGATCGATGTGTTACCAAAACCATGACTCAGCTTTTGTTTTTTGAAAAGCTTTGAAGAAGAATTTGCCTCGTATAATTTTTGTGTAAATTAGCTTTCTGAAAAAAAAACCTTTAAATTAATTATAAATGAGTTTAGCTCGGCTTATTTTATAACTTTGAATATTTTGGCATTTTCCAATATATATATATGATATTCTTTTTATTAAATTGATTTTCTGAATGTAGGTTTTCTTTTGAAGAAATATTTTGTGTCATAAGTGTTTTTACTTCCGCTGCAATTCTTTACTATAAATTTTGTTTTCAAACTCTCCTAAGACTAAGAGTGCTTAGGGAGGTGTGTTACAGAACTGGTATGTGATAAAGTTTTAAAGATGTGGTTTTGATTTGTTAAACGTGGATGAGTTCAGAACTGAACACGTGGTAGAAACATGATCCACATAAGATCCAAATCTAGTGTACTGTAGTCTAGTCCAAACAGAGTCTTTGTGTGTTTTACTAACGATATTAATTGATGTCATTACATCTGAATGACTTAACTTACCTCGTCCTTTTTCCTGAAGTGATGAGTGATGATCAATGCCAGGAATTAATATTGTTGTTAATTTTAAATTTTGTTAGAATCTAAGCTTCTCTTATGAAAACATTTCAATAATCTTGTTTTTCCCAGAAAAATTATTGGAAAATATGAGCTAATTTCACTTTCATAACTCTATTAGTTCCTATATAAGTAATATGGCTTTTAATTATTAACTTACATTTAATATATCAAAGTTTAACCTTAATTATTAACTTACATTCAAAAATTAAAGTTTAGTAATTAACAAATAAAATAAATACACGTAATATTAATATTAAAATTAGTATTAATGTTTTATTTTTGTAATATAATTTAATGACAAAAAAATATATTAATTATACTTTAAACATATACTTTTAAAGTATAAGTTAAAAATTTTTTAAGTAATATAATGATAAAAATTAATTACCATTTCATGAATACAATGACTAATTAAGTATTAAAATTTACTAACTCTAATTTTATTTAAGTAATTTTTTTTTTAACACGGTTACAATTATGGAAGAGGGAGGAATCGAACCCCAACCCTCGGGTTGGGGGATGCACCTTACAAGCTGATCTATGGTCGTTGGGCCGTGAAGTCCAGATGCTTTAAGTAATTAAAATAAAATAATTTAAATGAACTAATTAATATATTAATTTAGGTACTAACTCTAATATTTTGAGCTTTTTATTCCTCGTAATCAATAGGAAGGTCAAGCCTCTTTCAGGAAATGGTAGACAGTTATAAATCTTTTCATGTAACAGGCCTTTTCCTTTTTTTTTGGATTCTAGTGTAACTCTCATTCGAATGCTATGGCACTTCAATAAGAGGGAAGATGTTCGAAGAAAATGAGACAAAAAAAAAAGGTAGAAGTGTCGCAGGAGAAGATTTTCAAGCACTTTAAATCAAAATAGTCAATACCGTACCAGTATGCGTACCGGTTTTGTTACTGGAACGGTACGTATCGAATACCGAAATTTTTTGCGTACCGTTTCGAATTTATCGTTATAAAAAAATTTTATGAAAAATTTGGGGGCGAAGTTGAAGAAAAAAAACAAGAAAAGGACTCAATTGAAAAAATTAAAAAGCTGAGGATGAAATTTACTAAAACAAACTCATAAGCCTAGCCCAATATTGAGCAGCCCATCAAAAGTTCGAACCCACCAACACTGAACCCCAACAGTGGAGGAGGCCATGTTGAGGAGATTGGTCATTGGTGGCCTCAAGTCCTATGTCACCGGCTCTCCTGATTCCCAGTCTGCCATTCTTCTTATCTCTGATATATTTGGTATTTTCCCCCATTTCAAGATTCCTGTTTCTTTCTCTTAATTTCTTGTGATTTTGAGTTTCTGTTTCAGTCTGTGATTTGGGGTTGTGTGCTTTAGCATATTATATCTGGGTTTGTTTCAAAACCCAAATTTAACAAAACCCTACTTTCATCTCTTTTAAAGGGAGAAGGAGGAGGTGCGGCTGCCAAACCCAAAAAAGAAAAAAGAAAAAAAAGGATAAAACAAAAAAAAAAAAACTTGATTTTTCTCCCTTCTGCAGATCCACCATCGCCACCATCACCTCCGTTCTTTCACCTCGGATCTTCACCATCCCCTTGCTGATTTGGCTTTGTTTTTTGTTTTGTGTGGGTTTTTTTGGTTTGTTTGTTTCTATGTTGGTTTGCTTTGTTTGTTTGCTGTTTCTTGTTCTGTTCGGTGCAGATCCGGCGGCCTTCTTTCTCCTCCGATGGATTTGTAGCGGCACGCGCGAGGGCTACCAGATCTGACGCCCACCGCGGCTCTCCTGCTGGATCCAAGGGACTGCCGCCGCCTGATCGGGTTACCGCGTGGGTATCCTACCGCCACCCCCCAACCAAAACGACGTTGTTTT